TAAGAAATAAATTAGAATTTAAGAAATTAGAATTTAATAAATAAATTAGAATTAGAATTTGAGAATTTAGAAATTTGGTGGTTTTCCTGCATTTTTCCTGATTCTTCTCCCCGCTGCAGAATTTCGTCATGTTCAGGACGAGGAACGAGCGGTTCTGGATTGGGCTGACGGATGAAAATTCCGAAGGGGAATGGGAATGGATCGACGGCACCGATTATAAAACCACCTTCACGTGAGTGCTGCTCTTCCCCCGCGCTTTCTTCCCTGGCGCCCCAAAAAAACCCCAATTTTAAGACAAAAAAATTATTTTCTTCAGCCCATCCCAGGACGGGTGCTTAAGCCAGGTCTAACCCAGCAGCAGAGGGAAGAATTAACATTTAAACCCACCTCAAACCAGCCAGGTTTAGCTAATCCCAGCCCCAGCGAAAGCTGCTCCTTCCCCTGTGGCTTTTTATCAATTTTTCTCAATTTTTCTGAATATTCCTCCATTTTTCTCCATTTTCCTAAATTTTTCTCCATTTTTTCTCCATTTTCCTCCATTTTCCTCAGTTTTCCTCCATTTCTCTCCATTTCTCTCCATTTTCTCCATTTTCCTTCATTTTTCTCCATTTTTCCCCATTTTCTCCATTTTCCTCCATTTTTCTCCACTTTTCACCATTTTCCTCCATTTTTCTCCATTTTCCTCCATTTTTTCTCCATTTTCTCCATTTTTCTCAATTTTTCTGACATTTTCTCCATTTTCCTCCATTTTCCTCCATTTTTCTCCATTTTTCTGAATTTTTCTCCATTTTTCTCCATTTTCCTCCATTTTTCTGAATTTTCCTCCATTTTCTCCATTTTCCTCCACTTTTTTCTCAATTTTTCTAATTTTTTCTCAATTTTCCTCCACTTTCCTCCATTTTCCTCCATTTTTCTCCATTTTCCTCAATTTTTTCTCCATTTTCTCCATTTTTCTCAATTTTTCTGACATTTTCTCCATTTTCCTCCATTTTCCTCCATTTTTCTCCATTTCTCTCAATTTTTCTGAATTTTTCTCCATTTTCCTCCAATTTTCCTGAATTTTTCTCCATTTTTCTCCAATTTTTCTCCATTTTTCTCCATTTTTCTCCATTTTCCTCCATTTTTTCTCCATTTATCTCCATTATTCTCCATTTTTTCTGAATTTTCCTCCATTTTCCTCCATTTTTCTCCATTTTCCTCCATTTTCTCAATTTTTCTCCATTTTCCTCCATTTTTTCTCCATTTATCTCCATTATTCTCCATTTTTTCTGAATTTTCCTCCATTTTCCTCCATTTTTCTCCATTTTCCTCCATTTTCTCAATTTTTCTCCATTTTCCTCCATTTTTTCTCCATTTATCTCCATTATTCTCCATTTTTTCTGAATTTTCCTCCATTTTCCTCCATTTTTCTCCATTTTTCTCCATTTTTCTGATTTTTTCTCAATTTATCTCAATTTTTCTGAATTTTACAGAATTTTTCTGAATTTTCTTCCATTTTTCTCCATTTTCTCCATTTTTCTCTATTTTTCTGACATTTTCTCCATTTTTCTCCATTTCTCCTCCATTTTCCTCCATTTTCCTCCATTTTTCTCCATTTTCCTCCATTTTTTCTCCATTTTCTCCATTTTTCTCAATTTTTCTGACATTTTCTCCATTTTCCTCCATTTTCCTCCATTTTTCTCCATTTTCCTCCATTTTTTCTCCATTTTCTCCATTTTTCTCAATTTTTTCTGACATTTTCCTCCATTTTTCTCCATTTTCCTCCATTTTTTCTCCATTTTCTCCATTTTTCTCAATTTTTTCTGACATTTTCCTCCATTTTTCTCCATTTTCCTCCACTTTCCTCCATTTTCCTCCATTTTTCTCCATTTTTCTGAATTTTTCTCCATTTTTCTCAATTTTTCTGCATTTTCCGCCATTTTTCTCCGTTTTTCTAATTTTTTCTCAATTTTTCTCCATTTTTATGAATTTTCCTCCATTTTTCTCCAATTTTTCTCCATTTTTTCTCCATTTTCCTCCATTTTTTCTCCATTTTCTCCATTTTTCTCAATTTTTTCTGACATTTTCCTCCATTTTTCTCCATTTTCCTCCATTTTTCTGAATTTTCCTCATTTTTCTCCATTTTCCTCCATTTTTTCTCCATTTTCTCCATTTTTCTCAATTTTTTCTGACATTTTCCTCCATTTTTCTCCATTTTCCTCCATTTTTCTGAATTTTCCTCATTTTTCTCCATTTTCCTCCATTTTTTCTCCATTTTCTCCATTTTTCTCCATTTATCTCCATTATTCTCCATTTTTTCTGAATTTTCCTCCATTTCTCTCAATTTTTCTGAATTTTTCTCCATTTTCCTCCAATTTTCCTGAATTTTTCTCCATTTTTCTCCAATTTTTCTCCATTTTTCTCCATTTTTCTCCATTTTCCTCCATTTTTCTGAATTTTCCTCATTTTTCTCCATTTTCCTCCATTTTTTCTCCATTTTCTCCATTTTCTCAATTTTTCTCCATTTTCCTCCATTTTCCTCCATTTTTCTCCATTTTTCTGAATTTTTCTCCATTTTCCTCCATTTTTCAGAATTTTCCTCCATTTTCTCCATTTTCCTCCATTTTTTCTCAATTTTTCTAAATTTTTCTCAATTTTCCTCCACTTTCCTCCATTTTCCTCCATTTTTCTCCATTTTCCTCCATTTTTTCTCCATTTTCTCCATTTTCTCAATTTTTCTCCATTTTCCTCCATTTTCCTCCATTTTTCTCCATTTTTCTGAATTTTTCTCCATTTTTCTCAATTTTTCTGCATTTTCCGCCATTTTTCTCCGTTTTTCTAATTTTTTCTCAATTTTTCTCCATTTTTATGAATTTTCCTCCATTTTTCTCCAATTTTTCTCCATTTTTTCTCCATTTTCCTCCATTTTTCTCCATTTCCCCCCCCAGATTTTGGAAGGAAGGCGAACCCAACAACAGCGGCAACAACGAAGACTGCGCCCACGTCTGGATCTCGGGAAAGTGGAACGACGTTTACTGCACCTACGAGTGCTACTACGTCTGCGAAAAGCCGCTGCCCCCCTAAGCCCAGCTTCGCGAACCCAACGACGTCCCAAATTTTCCATTTTTCTTCTT